CAGATCCTATTTATTTTGAGCGTAATTTTCAGTAATCAACGTTAATTGATACTTTTCATACAGTGTTCGATTTTTATAAGGACAATGGCAATTATGTTTTTTGATCAGGGATTATTTCATGACTCGCGACATACCGAAGGACCTTTCCGCGCAATACTGTGTGTGTGTGTGTGTGTGTGCGCGTGCACTATAATTTAATTAAATAAATCTCCATGAGACATCTGGCGTTCTGGAAATGCTGCGTATTACGCGCGTACACACGACATCATTATTGTCCCTTCTGTAATATAATCTATTCGACAACCCGTAATCCGCTACCCGTAAACCCGCGTTAATTTTTTTTAGCGCTAAACGCGAGCATTACAGATCTGAATATTTACATGTACAAAACGCATAATCCGCTGATTTGAATTATTCACTCGAAAGTATAATCTTAGTAAAAAAAAAAAAAAAAAGAAAAATCATAAACGAGATAGAATGTGTCGGTCGTTTTTGTGACTTTTCAGGACCTCACATTCGTTGTAACAATACTAACTCATTGATTGGATTTAGATGCAACTTTAAACAAAACATCTCATTTTTTTAGTCCTGTGCGATCATTGTTTTAAAACACGAGAAACGAAAAAAGAAAGAATATTGGGCATCAACACAAAAGAGTCTGATCGAAAGTTGCATTAAAATCCGATCTAAATAGTCAGATAGGATTTTTTTTTTGACGATAACTGTCGAGAGACAATGATGATTGTTCGTCGAAATTCCACATAATCACGACTCGTTATCGCGACTTGCGGCCACGCTCGCGAGAAATATTTTTCGTTCCGCGCGTAAACTGTGTGTACGACGAACTGCGAGCGAGGACGCGGCGATAGCAAATTAGCGATAACAAATTATATTGTACATACCTAATATTGTATATGTGAATGTAACTATGTATATACCAATATCCTCATTAAAACCTCATTACAAAGAAACTAACCGCGCACATCTAACGGAACCAACGCATCTGTCGAAAATCTATGCTTTTGAATTCAAATCTTTACTTCTGTTTCAATTGAGGCGTAAGCGCCATCGCGCTTTTGTAAAAGTGATATATACGAATGATAAATACTGCATTCCATTTATATTAATATTATTATATTAATTTTAACCAACTCTAGATTGTAACTTTAATTAATTTAGATTAATTATAATCTTGGTTTAATTTTCTTAGTAGTAAAAAGAGATATAAAGTAAATTAAAACAAGGTCAAAAGTTAATTTGCATTTGTAGGAATGGATATAATTCATATTTCTTTTTTTCTTAATTTTTTTATCTCATCTCATTGACAGATCCTAATAGTTGCAAAGCTGATCCTAAGTTGAGATAGCTTAATGATACAACCAAATATCCTGTATAAACTTGATCTTTGAAGTGTCACGTGATTCTTTTATTATCGTTTTAAAATTTTTTTGAAATTTTTTTAAATAATTTTCTTTAAAATTTCATCCTTTCTTTGCTGGGTACAAAAAATTAGCTTAATTTGAAAAAAAATATTTTTAATATAAAAGCGTCGATCATGAAACATCTCATCTGTCTACAAGACATTCTTATTTTATAAATTCTCTTATATTTTATAGTTTTATATTAACCGCAGGACGCAACGAATGCGGCACGAATGACCGTTATCGGACACGGCAGTTTGAATCGCAGGGAAAGGTGGTAGTTGATGCGACAGCCGCGAGGCGGCGCGCGACGCGTCGCCAGTGGCGCGGCGCGGCGTATCGCCGGGCGCCATGACAGAGAAATGAAAATGGCGTCGTGTGTACGGTGCCGATGATCTCTCGTTTCGCCGTGTTCGTATTCAAGTAGTTGCGGTATACGACGTGCGACAAAGCGTCCACGGCGACGATTGGTGCTACGGATCGCGCTCGACGTGTGGTGCGCGTGACACGAGGATCGCCCGAGAGATAAATCAAGTTTGCTCCAGCGATCGCGCCGCACGTACGGACGTTACGACGAGCGGTGGTGGTGGTGGTGGTGTGGGATAGTGTTGGTGATTGTGGTGGTGGCGACGGCAGCGGCGGCGGTAACGACGACGACAACGACGACGACGACGACGACGACGGCGGCTGCCGCAGTGACGGCGATTAAATCACGCGGACGGCATCGGAACTGGCGTTGGACTCGCGGTAATCCCGTGTCCTCTCCC